AAGTATTGTCACGATTAGCAGTTCACTGAACTGTGGAACTTATCAAAATATTAAATGTCTCTAGGTAACTGAGTGATCAGTGCATATTTCCTGGGTTTCCTTTTCCTAAATGTGTTATGTTATCCAGAATATGGCTGAGTTGAAAGGACAGCTCGTCGATTTCCAAGCTTCCACGGATCCCGAAGTGGTAAGTATTATATTCGTATAAGAGTAGGGTTTCGAGAGTACCAGTAAATCAGTGTAATGAGATGTATTCACCCTATTTCGTCTAAGGTAATGAAGGACTGGTAGTAGAATTTTCCCATATCATATCATTGTGGGAAAATTCTACTACCAGTCTTTCATCACCTTAGACGAAATAGGGTGAATACATCTCGCATTGTGGGAAAATTCTACTACCAGTCCTTCATCACCTTAGACGAAATAGGGTGAATACATCTCATTACATTGGTAAGTATTACGTTGGAGGCTTGAGATTTTGGCCGAGTGATAAAACTTTATGCTAAAGTGGATAGGCTTCAAAGGAGACACGGATAGAGAGCGTCATCTCTCCTGGGCGGCATCCGAGGCAAAATTGTAGAATAAAAAAGCGTATATCTGATGTGTGCGTGCGTGTATCTGTGCTTCACCTGGGTCCAGAACTGTTGTTTCAAGCTGACCCTCCCCGGCCTCCTCCGTGTGAACTTTGAAATCTGCCAAATCGCGAACTCTAACGCCCTGGGGTTGGATGCCTCTTCCCGTGGCGTAAGCTTGTTTGGGGTCGCAAGCTGTAAACGGGGCCAATGGAGGATAAGAAGGGCAAGAGGAAAGGCAGTGTTGAAACTCCATTTGTCACTTGTTGTAAAAGTGAGCAGCAAGCAGGTGCTATTGCAGTCGTTAAAAAAACAAGTTTTATCATTTAAAATAACATGCGTGATGATGGCTCAGCTCTGAAAAATACCCCAAGGGAATGAAAAAAATTTGGCAAATCTCAATCAAAACCAACTGCTGACGTATGCTGCTTCCGTGCAACATCAGTTAAGGTCATGCTTGTTAGATAGACATTCAGAACTGACTCAAATTCTCATACCCTTTTTGCTTCGCTTCGATTTACAAACAATATAAAAAGGCTTTGTCCATATGTGTGCATACGTCTGGTTATAATTCAAATTGTTTGTGAGATTCTTCGATGTAAAAAAATTGTATGGGAATGCATTAGCTTAATTCACAAAATCTACATTATTTTATGTTCAAACAATGACACGTGTAATGCATACAAATAAATTACCTTGGACATATATGGGCCTAGCCAGTTTGCCAATAAATTGGACCTAACTCTAAGGACTTACATAGCAAATCGGTCCCTGATAAATACATTAAAAGATGCAAGCCAATCCAGCAAGTTGAATTATAATCCTGTAGATCAAGGCTAGACCCATGGTAATATCTTCACATTTTGTGGACAGGAAGTTTAAGGGCGTAATGTGGGCTATCTATCAGGAGGATACCAAATCCCGTTGGCTGGTATGGATGTAGAGCAATAATGTCACTTTTGATAACGTTGTTGTAGAGACTTACATTTCATATGAAAATGTATGATGCAGGGACTCGAAGGTCGATCTCACCGGAAGACGTCGGATGATCCCCGTTCTTCCGCAGCCATTTGGCTTTACTACGACTTTCAGGTTGACGCGGTCCACGAGACATCCTCCCTCGTTTCAGTGAAAAGGAACTGAGCTTTCAACCATCATATGTCTGACATCATTACAGCTGGAGCTCACTTTTGTGAAATTCTCAAGATAACAATAGAGCAAGAAGACTGTCCTGCTCCATTATACCTCTTATATATGCTCGTAACGAAAAGCGAAACTATGTAGAGATGAAGAGATATAGAATGATTAGGCTAATTTCCTTTTATATTGGTCATGCTACTTTTACACAAATACACACACTCAAGTAAAAGTGTCATGACCAATATAGAAGGGAATTAGTTAAATCATTTTATATCCTTCTGTGCGTATACATTTCCGATTTTAGTTATGAGTCTGCTTGACCTAGTGCTAATTTGAGACTCTTATAAGAATGAGTTCCAGCTCTGATGATGTCCATCATATGATGGACGAAAGCATAGCCCGTATTTACTCGAAACGAGGGATGTCGAGTCGTGGAGTGCGTCAACCCGAAGGCTGCACTACAACGCGAATCATCCATCGTCTTCTGGTGAGATCAATCTATGAATCTGTTCTTTATGCAATTAAATGCAAAATAAAAACCTCCACAACAATGTTATCTCAGGAGATCCTTCTAAACTCTGTCACTCTTCATGTCTAAACTTTTGATAAGTTAACATTGTGGTTAGACAAAGCTGTGGACAGAGCACAGCGCTGTTGTACAAAATTGAATGTGTCAAGATTCAATGGAAACTGGACGTAAGGACTTGCTTAGGCAAAGGTGTATAATGTAAACGTGCAATTAATTGAGGTACTGGTGAACTGCCTGTTTTCAGGTTGTTCTATAAAAAAGTATTAAAGGTACTCTCGAATGACTAAGGTTGTATGATGCTGGGGCCGAAAAAAATAAACAATTAATGCATAGGATGATATTAGTCAAGGTCTAAATGAAGGCCCAGCTAGTACAGTGGAAGTTTCTTTTAAGCGTAGAGGCCCTATACAACTTCGTCTCTCAAAGGTGGCCAAAAAAGCAATAAGGTTGGTGCCATACCCGTTGATAATGTA